GAGAGAGAGAGAGAGAAGGATAATTACTGTCTTAAAGCCCTCAGATAGGCAGGACAGTTCTAGTCCAAGCTCCATTAATTCCCTTAGGTCCACAATCCTAATGACCTAAAGCAGCAATTTTTAACTTTTTTCATCTCACAGCACACATAAACTAATTATTAAAATTCTGCAGCACACCAAAAATATATTTTTGACGATCTGAAAAAATAGATATGATTTTGATTTATAAAAATAACTAGAGATTTTATTATCTAATTCATGTACGGGTGGGGTCCAGCCGGCCTGCCCCGATCGGGGACAGTTGGGCCAGGCCAGCTGTGGGGAGGGGCCATGGGCATGTGGTGGGCCAATTGAGTGCAGGGCTGGCAGGGGGAGAGGCCACCAGGCAGCCCCACCCCCTGGTTGAACTCCTGGTTGAACTCCAGGTCGAGGGGACAATTTGCATATTAGCCTTTTATTATATAGGATAATAATACTAATTATTTACCCTTATTGCTCCAAAATGACTTTTTAAAAAATCAGGTGTCTATACTTGTATATAAAGATTTCTGGTACCAAGAATTAACCAATCAGATGCAAACTTATTATGCAACATAACCAACAAGATGCAATTCTATTATATGACCTATATATTTATGGTTCAAGACACAACATTCACACCAGACAGCTATTGTTGTGTTGGCTGTTGTCATTTTTTAATTTGGCAAGCTGAAGGGAATAGAGGTCAGTGTCTCTGACTAACGAGTTGAGTATTGCACATTTTAGAAATTTCTTGCGACACACAGGTTGAAAATCACTGACCTAATCCCTTAAGTATTTCTCCATTCCCCTTGTGCCAGATGTGCTCATAGCCTATCTCAGGAAGCTGCTTATCTCTAATCTTCCCCTCGCTGCTTGACAACAATCACTGCTTTTTAGCTCACTTTTGCCAAGAAAGTATAGCTCCTGTTCAAACAGGTTTGGGTGACCCTGTCTTTCAGTCTCACGATAAAGGAATCACCCAAATGGCTCTGCTTTGGTTAATGACTAATTATATGAAATCGGCTTGAGGAACCCCAGAGACACTATTCTGAGAGAGTGTGTGGCCCGTGAACAAAATGACAACTTACGAGTTTGAGAAAGCAAGAAACAAACATAACAAAACCAAACCCAAAGGACTGCTGAGTTGAAGTTTTCCAGGTAGCAAGGCTTTAGCCACCCTCGCAGGCCTCATTCACTTGCTTGACACCCTTTTGGTCTTTTCACTATTTATGAACACCTTCAAATGATAAGAAAGAAAAGCCCACTGATTTGAAGGAGGCATTATCTCAGAAGTGGAGACTGAGTCCTCTGTCTCCACTCATTGTTTCAAGATGCAGGAAGCAGACAACTGCCTCTGAAGGTTTGAGTTCTACTAAGTTCAGCCCTCTGACACCGAAGACTGTGCTAAGCTATAATTTCTCTTAAAGACTTAGTATTTTATGTATTTATACATAGGCTTCTGGGGTGGCTTGGCTGGAGTCAAAGGTATGAAAAACAAAGCACAAAATCCTCACTCTGAGAAGACACAATTTCTGTTTTGAATGAAGATATCCTTTCTAAGACTTGAGTATTGTTAGAAAAGAGGTCTTGACACAGGAAGTGTTATCTTGCCTTTATATATAAAACCTCAAAACCACCCGGACACAGAAGCTCCTCTGTCCTCACCTTCCATCCAGACCACAAGATCCTTTGTCAGTCACTCTGAGTAATGCCAAACTCTCTTGCTTTACAAATGAACTTTAGCATGAATTCCTCTCCTTGCTTAAACAAGCAGACACACTTGGCCACTTTGGTAGACCTTGGTAACAATGCCAATAGACGTATTTTTGTGATTCTTCAGCCAAACCACAAAGGATGGCATTAGAAATTGTATTCACTAGTTACCACAATTGGAAGAGATGAGATTGAGTTGTACCTAGAGAATATCCAAACGCCCGGATATGGGATGAATGCCTCAGGAAACAGTAAGTTCCACATCAGATGTGGGATAGACAAACTAGACTGCCACTTGGCACACATTATGGAGGGGACATGTGCCAAGAAATAAGGTGGCCCAAGTTACATATAAGCTCTCTTCTCATCTGGGAGTCGGTGAGTTAAAACAGTGCTCACAGTGGGTTGTAAAGACTTCTGGTTGATTTATGGGTTTGAGGATCAGGAGATCACAGACCTAGGAGTTGGGAGATGACAAAGATCTTAATAAAAATAACCCAGCCAAAGTGACCAGAGGATGTTAAGATATCCAATAATTACGCTCTAAAGTGTCCAGGAAGAGCTATAAGTTGAAGGAAAAGTGGAATTTTATTAAACCAATAAAAGACACTAACACAAAAAAATGTAATAAGGGAATACCTTGTTGTAGGGTTCATCACTAGGATGGTTGAACAAAAATCTCTCCATCTTGTTTGCCTCTGAATAGCAAATAAATTGCAGTCTCCCTGCAACAATGGAATGTCATTATTTTTTAAATCTCCAGAAAAAAAAGGTGCCGTTTATCTTCTGAAGTCCCCTGTGTACTGAGCATGCTTACCTACCTGTGGAGTTAACAGGGCCTCCCGGCACATTCTCTATTCACTGGTTGTTGCTTCACTTCTGTCCCCTAACACTAACCGGTGGCAGCTCTGTTTAATCAACAACCAGGCCTCCTGTTCTGAGCTAATAATTTCCCAGCAGGCTCAAAATTCCCTGATCATCAAAGGTACCTACATAGAGATATTTTCCAGTGGACAATTAGCAACTTGTGTATTGATGAGAGTACTGAAGGAGTTTGGAGATGTGGGTTCTAGTTTGTACTTCATCAGTGACTCCTATGTCCTTGGGAAAGTTATTTTGAGTTGTTCTGTATGAAAGGACTGAGACTATGAATAGGCCTTAATTTAGGAGGTCTGTTAGGATATGAGATAGTAAAAGCAGGTAGATCCCATTCTCCATGTCTGTTTAACTCAATGGAGCTCAAAGACCTCTCTGATGAGGTGGCATTTGCTTTCAGATCAGAATTGATCATCTAATTCTTATAAGGCCAAGAATTTCGTTATTAATTCCACTGCAAGGTTGGAAAGAGCCTGGGAGAACAGCACACTTTGAGGCTCACAGTCCAGCTCCTGGGTTGCCCAACTGAGGCCCAAATCTCCCCACCCACCATCTAAACACCTGCATGTACTCTGATAACCAGGTTATGGTGGCTAATAGCTTTCACACTGTTCATTTGTTCCAGCCAAGAACCATCTGTTTTCCTACTTTTCATAGATGAAGTTTCAGCGATGATGTGACTTTCAAGATCTCACAATTAGTATGGTGGGGCTAAAGACAGAACCCAAACCACTGCTCTTTATACTTCATTTGCCTTTTCTTAATCACTGGCTGAGATGACAGTAAATAATGCTCATTTTATACTTTATAATATAAAGGATAACAAAAGGGGAAAGAATGTATCTTTAGAGCTGATGGAGTATACAATTTCATGAGAGAGCTATACACATTATAAATGACACTCCGAAATTTATTGTATAGTTGCATACCCTTAGCAACTCTGTCTCCCTCTATCCATTAAGAACAAGTATCTGGCCCAGTCAGCGTGGCTCAGTGGTTGAGCATCCACCTATGAAACAGGAGGTCACGGTTTGATTCCCCGTCAGGGCACATGCCCAGGTTGCAGGCTCAATCCCCAGTGTGGGGTGTGCAGGAGGCAGCCAATCAATGATTCTCTCTCATAATTGATGTCTCTCTCTCTCTTCCTCTCTGAAATAAAAATATTAAAAAAACACAAGTATCTGAAAATACAGTAGCAATTAAAGTCACAAATTGCCAACGACGCATAGAGAACCCTGGTTCTGCAGCTGGCATCACTGACTGAGATGCAGGTGACAGCACTGGCTTATAACCACTGGGGCTGTGGAGCTGACCACTGTGGTAACTTTGTGTTCACATTTCTTTTAGTCAAGTAGGATAGGCTTTAAACCCTAAGCATAACTCAGAACATCTT